GAGGCACGCAGACCGGGAAAACAAAAGAGAAAGATAACTTAAGGACCCGGTGCCGGGCTTGAGGACTGATCGACCACAACGGGAGACGCCTCCGAACCAGACGCAGGAAGGTCCACTTCTTTTCCCAAACCTGAAGGGCGAGCTTCATCATCGTGAGTCCCTATGATGGTCCTGGGGTGATCAACTTCGTCGTCCGACGCTCAGCCACCAAGGGAAAAGCCTCATAGCCGGCCAACCGAACCTTCCCTATCAAGTGCAGATTGCCGGGGATGGGGCCAAAACCCAAGAGACCGACAACAACATAGTCAGCCCAACCTTTCAGGCGCCGAATCAGCTCGGCCTCGTCCTCATCAACCTCGCACACCAGCCCTTTGAATTCGGCCTCTAGATTATGCTCAACCATTTTGGCATCTATGATCGCACGAAAGTCCTCCACAGACAATAAGCCGTAATTGAGGCGTTGAAATAGCCAAAAGAGATTGTACCCGACCCCTGAATCCATGTCAGCACGGATCTCTTTGGAGTAAAGCACCTGAACTTCTGGGTAGGACGGCAGTTGGGGAGGCGGCGCAATCGCGACGGCCTCGGCTTTCTTTCGGGCCTCCTCGTTGTGGATGTCGAGCTCAACACAGAGTTCTCAGACTCGAGCCCGGAGTTGGTCCATCTCTTTCATGTTTTTCTCATAAAGGCCGGCCACCTCTAAAGCGTGCTTCCTAGCCAATTCCTCACACTCCTCCGCCCAGTCCGCTCTCTCCTTCTTCAGCTTGTCCTCGGCCCTAGCCAATGCCTTCGCTGCCGCGGCTTCATTCTTTTTTTCCTTCACGACCTCCCCCTGAGCAAGGATGAACCCGTTCTCCAACTTCGACATACCATGAACCTTATCTTTCAAGAAATGGATGCGCTCTCAACAGCGGCCATGCTTTTCCTCCAGCTTCCTCAGCTCGGCATCTGTCCTCCGCGTCTGATCGGCGGCATGAACAAGTGTTTGTCCTATTTCTGTGCATTTTTCGTTCTTTTTTTGTCTTTCTTTTTCCTTTATTTTAGGTCGTTTAGATGATTTTTAGTTTATTTTATGCTTTATTTCGTGTTTTGCTTTATTTCGGTCTTTCTTGTGTTTTTCGGTCATTTTTTGGTTTTTTGTTGTCATTGGTGTGCAAGTTGAAAGTCTCGGGAGATTA